TTATGTCTTCTAGCAATTCCTTGTAGGGAGTAATAAGGTGTGATGCCCCTGAGTCTATTATCCGTTCACAGATATAAGTCTCAGAAAGCAATGTAACAGTACTTGCCACCATGTTCGAGTTGCAATCACCTGGTGAAGGTTTGTTAAGCAAGCTCATGAGTCGTGAATACTCTTCCTCAGTAAACAAATGTCCCTGCACCTAATCCTCTGTTGTTGCAGTGTTGATGCTTGGCTTATAGCCTCCTCCAGTCTATGTTCTGCTGCTAGATATCCCAAGAGTTTCACCAAAGTGACCATTTTTCATCTTACTTTTAAAGTCTGGGGGGTATCCTACAAGCTTATAGCAATTTTCCTTCAAGTGGCCTTTATAGCCACAATATTCACATATCATCCCTGGTCCTCTTGGTTTGAATCCTTGTGTTTTTCCTACAAGCATAGTTAATGGATCTATGTGAGTGTCCACAACACCAAGCGATCTCTGACTCTCTTCCCGTGTGACAATCTCATAAGCTTCATTTACTATCACCACTGGTCTCCTAGCAAGCATATTGCTTCTTACATTGCTGTAACTTTCATTCAATCCCATAAGGAATTGCAACAAACGTTGTGACTTCAGGAGTTCAACAGATGGCCTCGCTTCCTCACAATCACAGCATGATAAAGGAGCCAACACATCCAATTCGTCCTACAGATCCTTCATTTTCGTGTAGTAACTTATTACTGAATCTGTTCCTTGCCTCATTGTTTCTATTTCAGTCCAGAGATGGTAAATTCTCGTCAAGTTTGAGCGATCAAATCTCTCCTGAAAATCATTTCACACTTTTCTCGCATCTGATGCATAGACAATACCTGGCATTAATTCATTGGAAACCGTGCTTCCTATCCATGACAACACTATCGCATTGCATTTTGTCCATTGTTCAACCAATTTCCCTCTGTACCTAGCTTTTACACACGATCCATCCACAAAACCTAGTTTTCTCTTTCCTCGCAAGGCTAATTTCATTGCTCTGCTCCACAAGGCATAATTTTCTGGTCATGTAAGCTTGATTGAAATTAAAACCAGCTTACATTGGAAACCGTGCTTCCTATCCATGACAACACTATCGCATTGCATTTTGTCCATTGTTCAACCAATTTCCCTCTGTACCTAGCTTTTACACACGATCCATCCACAAAACCTAGTTTTCTCTTTCCTCGCAAGGCTAATTTCATTGCTCTGCTCCACAAGGCATAATTTTCTGGCCATGTAAGCTTGATTGAAATTAAAACCAGCCCTGGAGTATCTCCAACTTGAAGGTATAGTGGATGATTGTGATCGAGTGAACTTACTTCATATTCCGCCATGTCCGCCTCTTCCAGCTCGAAATTATTCTTATTCACTCGGAGTTTTACGTCGGAGCTCACGCCTCATGATCGCCGCTCTGATACCATGTTAAATTGAGGATTAACTTTGTGAATCTCAGTCAATTAACAGAAATGAGAAGCTAGGGTTCTATGGAAGAAGAATGTTTTGGAATCTAGGGAGAAGGAAGTATGAGAAAGAAGATATGTTTTCACTCTTGCATTACAAAATCCACAAGTCACAGACTTTTATACAAATACACTTGTAGGATCACGTGCACATCATGTGCTACTCACTAACCAACTTACTAACAACCTTAACTAACTACACCAACAGTACTTAGCTAATATAACAAGCTAACTATTCTTTATTCTATTTTAATAGATTCCCACAATTGAAGCAGTGAGGTCGTAATAATAAAGAGCTAAGTGAATTTCTTAGTGAAGAAAATTAAGAATTTTACGATTTAATAATTTATAAATTAACCCATTAACAAAATTAAAGAATATGCTTATCAGGGGCTGCTCAACATTGTTGGTGGTCTAAAGCCAAATCTTGATGAGGGGCCTTATTTTTTTCAAAAATTTTTAAAAACTTATATATTTTTAATTTAAGTCTATTTTTCTTATTTTTTGAGATGCAAAGTTATTAATATTTTATTTATAATCGAGTTATTCTAATAAATTTTTTTCGCTTGATAATATAGCTAGTCCATTTTAATGTCTTTTAAGACATTTTTGATCCTAGGTAAAATTGTATTACATTAAAATTAAATAAACTTCTTTCCCCAAATGCAACTGTTATAGGAACATTATTCAATAAGGAATATAGGTATCTTAAAAAGAATCAAGTCTTACCTTTTCAAGTCTTATTAGCTGATAGAGTATATCGATTAGGGTATTATTTCTAGTTATAGTATTTTCATTAATTCTTTTAATTCGAAAAATAAGTGTAAACTATTCACCTAGTGATCTCAAAATTTTCCACTAAATAAAAACTATAGATACTTTTCACGCTTCAGATTATTCAAATCTCCATGGTCGATATCTATGACAAAGCAAAGATTTCTTTTTTTTTTCCTATTAGAAAATTATAATTTTTTACTTCAAAATATTCAATTTTAAAAAAAAAACTATTAATCCTTAAAAAGTACTACTAGTAAAAAAATAGGACCCCTAAACTTTGGGGCCTAAAGCAATTGCTTGGGATGCCTTACCCTTGAGCCGACATTGGTGCTTATTTGGAAAAGCTTGAGCTAAGCTTTAATGGCTGGGGAACATTTTGAAAATTTCACCCTTTCGAAAATTTAACTTAGCTACGGCAAAAGCTCAAGCTAAACTTTTCTGGAAAAAAAAGAAAAGAATCTTCTATACATAAGCTTAAGCCAAGTTTTAATGGTTAGTGGAGCTACAAAGAGCTTTAGTTTTTGAATTCTAATTACAATTTCTCAACAACAAAAAAAGCGACAAAGCTAAGAACTAATTAACAAGAAAAGATATGAGAAATCTTGGTGGGTCCAGTGGAGAGAAGTTGGTCTAAGCACCAAGGAGCTGCTATGACAGGTTTAGTGATTTTTTAAAACAAGGAAGAAGATGACCGTATTTTAAATTTAAAAAAATAAAACTAAAAAATTGACATCTGATACAAAGTCTCCTATTCACGCGCTTCATTGTTGGTAAAAATACGCATCGACCACATGGGCAAAGTGGTGTGTCTTTGACACACTCTATAAAGGTTGTGGGTGTGTAAAAGGTTGCTCGTGGTGGAAAGGTATGTAACAGGGATTTGAGTACAAGATCGATAGGTAAGCTATGTATTTTGCCATTTTTATTTGAGGTATAGCCAATTAGGATTTATAGACTAATTTGAATAACAATTTTTCTTTTGTTGATTATAACATTAAATAGGAGATTACCTACTAATTCAATTTTAAAAGGATATTTTTGCAAAATAAAACAAAAGGGAGGAGCATATATGCCTGGACTAGGGGTGGCAAACGGGTGGGGCTAGTCGGATATGAGCTAGTCGAAAATGGGTGATTTAAAAACGAACAAATTATCCGACCCGACCCGCATTTGAGGCAGATAAAAAACGGGTTATCCGACGGATAATATGAATATCCATATTATCCATGGCTTCTTGAATATGATCACTTTTGGGAGAATTCCTAGTCTCCCAAACTTGAGGAACCCCCAATTTGAGGCTTTACAAATGTAAAAGTTAAACACATTAGTTATCCATTGGTTATCCATTTTCTAAGTGGATAATATGGTTCTTATCCATATTCGATCCGTTTTTAAAAGGTTCGTTATCCAACCCATTTTTTAATGAATAATATGAGTGAATAACTCTATTCTTTTAACCATTTTACCACCTCTAGCCTGGACTAACTGCTTAGCAATCAACACGAGATTTGTCTAGATCAATTATTAGGTGTTGCATTTTAGATTTAAGAATGTTGGTTTCCTAATTTTGGGGTTCAAGGATCAAAATTTGTTTCTAATGAAACTGCGGCTTCTCACAAAGATTAGTCTACGTTACCACTTTAACATCCTCTGTTCAATCAATAGATCATTTCAAAAGTTACAATAATAATTCACAACATGAGTTATGATCACCACACCAATAATAATAAACAATGCTTTCAGTCCAAAACAAGTTGGGATCCGCTTGTGATTGGAGCATCTAAACATTCACCATGTGCGATAATTTCAGCAGAAATTTTATGTAACCAGGCATGCGGACAAAACTCTAAATATATCATAATACAATACAGTACACCTAAGAAACCAATCATCATACTATAATTGCATTTAAATTGAGACATGACTGTAAATCATGTTGGACTTTAAGCATTGGGCATTAAAGACTTTAAGCATTGGGCTTTAAAGAATAAGAGTGTGAATTGGGAAATGGTGAAAAATAAAATGGGGGAAAATAAAAATTTGAATCAAGTGAGCTTTTGTCATGAACTTTGTACCACATTGGTGAAAGACAACTACACTTGTGTGTATAAATATAGGATCACTTCTTAGAGCTCTTAAAAGGAGTCGAAGAGAATGAACCCTCGCGCCGTCGTCGTCGCTCGGCTTCGGCTTTGAATTGATAAGATTATTTTTTGGACAAAATTTATTTAATTAATTATTTAATAATTAATTAAATGCCAGTCAGTTCATTAACGGAATTAACTGAAATCCAAAAAACGCTGCCTTTGCTGAACAAACATCACACCTCTTCCGATAATTGCCTATAAATTTTGAGGCATGGCTTCTTCAGTTTCTCTCTCTCAAATTCGTAAGTGTGATTTTGCTCCGTTCTTTGAGTTCGTTGGTATCCTGCAGTTTGTATTGCCACTGTTGCAGGAAGGTTTATTCCGTTTCATCCTGGGAGGGTTTACTCCATTACCTTGACAACTTGTGAGGGGGTTAAAATTCTTTAAGGACACACAAGAAAATTGTGGACTCGAAATATTTCTTATCGTTTACAAATTTTCTGTTTCTTCTAACAGTTTTATTATTTTCGTTTTAACACAGTGTAGACTACAAATCAATAACTATGTAGTGATGAAAAAGAAAGTGCCAATATATACTTAACTCAATGTCTTAAAAACAAAGTAAAAACACTAAGATAACACCAAATTCAAATCATCCAAAGATATAACTCCACTGTAGGTTACAAGATCAATCTTAACAGCAAATCAAGCTAATGAGAGAGAGAGCAAAAACAAAATATTTGGTTCTAGCAGAATGTGGTGAATTCAGAATTTAAATTTTACGAGTTCGAGATTTTAGGATTGTAATCTCAAGTACTAATAATTAGGTTTGGAATTTGATATATTTATTCATATTTTACGGATTTCTTAACACATACATAAATCTAACTTAATTAGCTAAGGAGTTTGCTGAATCCATATATTACACTCTATATCCGTCCCTGCCAACAAAAGGTGGCAATCGAGGCTAACCCGGGGGAGGCGAAGGCGAAGGCGAAGGCGAAGGCGAAGGCGAAAGCGAAGGCGAGGTGTTGGATGAGTAGTTTTGAAGGACAGTGACACTCAATTTCTGGCCTAAAGCACAGTAGTTTAAGATGCTACACATATAGTAAAAAACCCCTGGCTCCATCAAAGTAATGTTGGCTGGACCATCTGTGTAAACCTTGTAAGGGTGATCAGCAGTGCAAAGTCCATATTCTCTTCTTGATACTTGCATCACATTGTAAAGTTCTGGATCAAAGTCAAAATCTGCATGCCCCAAATAATAAAAACATAAGATAAATAAATCCAAATATTTAACAACAACAACAAACTCTATGTAATCCCACAAGTGGGATTTGGTGAGGGTACGTAGTCTGTACGCAAATCTTACCCCGACCATATAAAGGTTGAGGGGGGTATTTTCGATAGACCCTCGGCTCAACGAAAGATGAAAAAGGAAGCAGTAACAACAAGCAACGACAACAGCAAGATAAGATGATAAGAAAATCGAAGCGGAAGAAATAACATGTAGTAGTAAACATCTAAGTATAAGAAAATACGAGAATAATTCTAATACTACAAATCCAATAATATTTATCTATGAAATGAATTATAATTATATCTTCACAAAATAAAAATAAAAAAATTGAGAATTACAAAGAGTATCTCCAGGGATGAAAACTTGGGAAGAAGACCAGTTGGTGTAGAAGTTATTCATAGGAGGGATAGTCCAAATAGAGTCCCCTACCAAATATTGCATAGCGTATGATTGATGCAATAATAGTGCAAATGTTATCAAATAATGGTGATTTAGCATTTCCATTGATATTTTCTGGGGAAAAAGAGAAGAGAGGCGAAATATTGATGATGTAGCGGTTAAGAGGTTAAGTAGTGGGGATGAAGAAAATGAAAAGTTTGAGAGAACGTAACTGTTTGTGCCACAGTTGAAAAGTCAATAGATAGTCCCAAAATGCATAAACGTACATTTTAAATAAGTCCCTTCAATTTGAATATTTGAAAATGGAGAAAAAAGCCGAATACAAAAAGGCAGACATAAGCTTATTTCTTGAATCTTTATCCAAACAAATAACTAAGTAGACGTTTGGACATAAAGATTATAATTTTTAAAAAAAAATAGAATTTGGAGTAAGTTGAAAATTGATATTTGGTCATGCATTTTACGTGCAAAAACTATTGCAGTTTTGTGAAGACGAAAATAAAGTTTGGTTTTTGAAGAACTCATTTTCGAAAAATTTCCAAAAAACTTACAAATTTTCATGGACAAACACATTTTCGATAAAAAATGTTAGAAACAAAAATCTATGGACAAATGGGTCATAAATAGAATAGAAAGCTGACTTGTAACAGTGAAGCCTGTGGTCGAAAAGTCCACGAGAGTCGTAGTCGAGATGTCAGCAAGGGTCGAGGTTGAGGTCGAGTTCGGGTACCGTTGACAGAGCTGTAACGACTAGTTTTCAAGATAGGATATTAAAGAGAATACTCTAGTGGATATTCTTTGCACTTGTGCTATTAGGGTTTCTTAGGAATATGTCCCACATAAATAACAAAAAGAGACAATGATAGGGGATGATATATTCATTTGTAAAAAAAGCACTTTGACTAAAAGATTCGGCTCTCACTTACAACATACAAACATCACCTTTTTCTCTAGGATTCTGGTCGAGATTTTTCCATCAGATCCAAGAATAACTTGAATATTCTAGAATCTGTCTATCATTCGCTGTCGAGAGAAAGATCCACTTATTCCACCCTTTATTGGTAAACCATTTCTCTTATTTACCTGAATTCCATTTATTGTTGTCCATTATTATTGAATGCCACATTATTGCTCCTGATTTCTAGAATTATTATACGATAATACCACTGTTCGACCAGATATGCCCAATAACTATTGCTTCGTTTAAGACCCCATCTAAGGATATTATTATTAGCTAAGATTAACCCTTATTCACATAAATTTAATTATTTGAACCAAGATTTATACTTTTTGGTCAAATAATTTGGCGCTATCTGTGGGAATTTCATAGTTAAATTTTTAGTTTCCTCTAGATCTACAACTAACGCAGGTCACTAACGTCAAAAAAATCCAAGATCTCCTTTCTCTGTGTGTGCAAAGCCCTACATAGCAAGTAGGCGAGAAGAAAGGGTGAGAATAACAAATGACTTCCCAACCAACCTCACGAATGTCATCAACGAAAGCTGTGAAACGACGGGTGAAGACACGACGTCCAATGCGTCCCCTAGAAGAGACGGATCACCGTCCCCACACTGTAGCATAACAAAACCCTGTGGTAAAGCAACCTCCACGCCTGTAGAGGAAGGGACGCCCCCAGCTGTGAAGAAACTCCTTGAGGCGTGGCTAACTGCCACGCTAACAAGCGTCCTCAACGAACCCGCTCCAGGCATGACTGTAGAAACCGCAGGGACTTGCACGATACAACAAACAGACGAACAGTGCAACCAACCCCTCCCTCGAACGACATGTATAACTCATAATGTCATTAATAGTGCAAGTGACAACACCCTCGCAGCCATTCTAAAAAGGATGGAAGAAATGGAGAATGAAAACAAGGCATTCTGAGACCAGATGAAAGAACACCAAGAACGGGTTGGTAAGATACCAGGTGCTCCTAAGCTGCTGCCAAAAAGGGACACCGACAGTTCGTCGAGCAGCCGTACAGTGATGATGCAGCCCCGCATACCATACCAAAAACCTTCAAAATGCCGCCCTACCTCAGGATATACGATGGCATGACCGACCCTGAAGATCATGTGACTCATATTACGTCACCGCTGTGAAAGGCAATGACCTCACGAAAGAACAAGTATACTCCATTTTGCTGAAGAAGTTTGGCGAAACTCTCACAGGGGGGGCATTAGCATGGTATACGCAGCTACCAACACGCTCCATTGAAACTTTCGAAGAAATGGCCGACAAGTTCATAATGACCCAGCTAGAGCCAAGACGGACGAAGCGAGACTGAACGACATATTTGCTATTAAATATTCCATAAGAGAGGGATTGAGGGACTTCTTCCCCCGATTCAATCGAGTAAGGATGACTCTTCCAAACATATCCAAAGGTATCGGGGTCGCAGCCTTTCAGAACGGGCTGAGTAGAGATGGTTCAAAAGAAACTAGGAAACTGTTGAATCGATTGATGAAGTATCCCTCAATCACTTGGGATGAAATCCATAATGCTTACTATGCCGAGGTGCGAGTAGATGAGGACGACCTCAACGACCCAATTCATCGATTGACCTCAGTACAAGTCGAATCCAGAAAAGACCGAAGAGAGAACGCCAGAAGAGATCATGCAATTCCGTGATCTAATAGGGAACGACATCAACCATATGTCAGAACGGCCAATGCGCTCTCTCCCCGCTGTGAAGAAGGCACGTCCAAACCAAGGATAGGAACTCATAGGAATGAAAGAGGTATGCCTACCTTATTATCTGCTCACATTTTTTTGTGTCACCTATGGAGATAGTATATGCTCTGGAGAAGCTCGGACCAAAAGTGAAGTGGCCGCCAAAGATGAGATCGGACCCAAGCACCAGAAAGTCTGACGCCCTCTGTGAGTTCCACCAGGAACGAGGGCACAAAACCGAAGATTGCATCGCCCTAAGGCAGGTAGTCGTAAACATGTTGCGACAAGGGCACCTCAAAGAGCTGCTAAGCGATAGAAGAAGAACCAATTTCGCCAGAGGACGTGAACACCAAGGACTGCCAAAGCCACCCTCGCAGGCTCGTACCATCAACATGATCATCGGTGGCGACAACGACGCCTCCATCAACAATGTGAAGTTCACCACTACCCACAAACTCAAGCGATTTATCACCCACGAACGGTACGATAAACTCGAAGAAGGTATCATCTTTGACAGGTCAGATGCTAACGCTTTGACTTTTCCTCATAATGATGCCCTCGTTATTATTTATAAATTTTAGATACTGATTTTAAACGCATTTGGTAGATGACGGGAGCGGCGCGTGCATTATCCATCCCCGAGTACTTACCCAAATGAGACTTGAAGATAAGATAGTATCGCGCTGCATCACCCTAACTGGTTTTAACAATGCAGTTGAGCGAACATCCGGAGTAATTACACTCCCCGTCTTGGCCGGCGGCATAACTCTGGAAATAACATTCCACATCATGGACCAGGACACCGTGTACAATGCCATAGTAGGAGACCGCAGATACACCCCATGAAGGCCGTCCCTTCTAGCTTATACCAAGTCATCAAATTCCCAACTGCATGGGGAATATTCAGTATACGAGGGGAACAACATTCCTCCCCGGAATGCTACCGCATTGCCTTAGACAGCACGACCACCCAACAAAGAAAGGATAAAGAAAAAGAGGCATCGCAATCAGCAGGGTCGAGCTCGGAGCGTGATGAGATCGGAGGAGGTATCAAAGACCCCGACATGGTCGAAGCTGCAGGATTGACCATAGAAGACCTCGACCCCGTTCAATTGGACCTCAACGACCACAACAAAAAGGCCTATATCGCCTGCAAGCTTCAAGAACCGGGTAAATTCAGTCAATTCTGGACAGCTAACGCAGATTTGTTTGCTTTCAGCCATGTAGATATGCCGGGCATCCCAAAGGAAATCACTACGCACAAATTAAACGTTGACACATTCCATCTCCAGTAAGATAGGCCAGGCGTAAATTCAACTCCATAATTAATGTCGCCAACGTAGTGATGGTCAAAAAGAAGAATAGGAAATGGCAGATGTGCGTGGATTTTACAGATTTAAACAAAATATGTCTGAAGGATTCGTTCCCGTTGCCTCATATCGACCAACTCATCGACGTAATGGCAGGGCATGAACTACTAAGTTTCTTGGACGCTAACTCAGGCTATAATCAGATCCTCATGGAAGAAGAGGATCAGGAAAAACCCACGTTCATCACCCACCAAGGAATGCATTGGACTAAAGAACGAATGAGCTACTTATCAAAGGTTAGTAACAAAGATGTTCAAGGACCGGCTTGGCAAAACAATGGAAGTATATATAGACGACATGCTGGTAAATTCAAAAAGGGGAAAAGATCACATCGATCATCTAAAGGAGACCTTCTACATACTCAGACGGTACGGAATGAAGCTAAACCCGGAGAAATGCGTAGTTGGTGTAGCCTCGGGAAAGTTCCTGGGTTTTCTGGTATCATAGTGAGGGATCGAGTTCAAGACAAACCAAATCAAAGCCATCGAAGGGATACCGGAACTCTTGACCACCAAAAAATAGCCTCGAATGGACTACCGATTGCGTTCAGGCTCAGCGAGGACTAAAGGCGTACCTGTCATTGCTTTCAAAAGCCGAGTTCTGGGAGTATCTCCTCGTTTATCTGGTCGTATCCAAGGTAGCTGTAAGCACAGTCTTAATTCGAGAAAACAAAGGTATGCAATTACCCATCTATTACATTAGCAAAACACTTGTCGATGCCGAGACGAGGTACCCACACCTCGTAAAATTGGCTTTGGCCTTAGTCGTAGCTTCACGAAATCTTAGACCATATTTCCAATGTCACACCATCTCTGTCGTCACAACTTTCCCCCTAGGAAGCATTTTACATAAGCCCGAGATATCGGGAAGGCTGGCCAAATGGGCCATTGAGCTAACTGAGCACGATATCACATACAAGCCACGAACAACGATAAAGTCACAAGTGCTCGCAGACTTTGTCACCGACTTCAGCGAAAAAATAACGCATTAAGTCGAAAAGGAAGCTGTCTAAACTTCCCTCCATACACAAGACCTCTGGGTCCTATACACCGATGGCGCATCCAAAGCATCAGGGTCCGGACTGGGACTGGTACTCGAAGTCCCGACAGGCAAAGTGATTCGTCAGTCCATAAGGTGCCCA